GAGCTGCAGAGAGCCAGGGAGTGCCTGCGGTCAGCAGGTGGTGCAGGGATGAGAGGCAGGAGCAGGGCACAGCCAGGGGCGAGGGTTTATTTCACTTCTGTACCAAACTGTGTCTGAAGCTGCTGCAGGAGCTCGGGCAGGACATGAGCTGCCTGCCGGCAGGTGCTCTCCTCTCCAGGATGTGCTCCAGCAGGAACGTCGCTGCCTGGGCCAGGATCTGCTCCAGCCTCTCCTGCTCCCCGGCACTGAAGGGAGCCAGGACATAGCTGGACACGGACACTTCACCCTCCGGGCGCCCGATGCCAACCCTGAGTCGGGTCATCTCCTGGGGAGGAAGAAGAAGAGCTGGAGGAGCTTCACCTTGAGGGCTGACATGGAGCTGGGGCAAGGGGATAGTGTTGTGACTAGGGTTGGGCAGTGAGGGAGCAGCCTTGCATGTTTTCCACTGAAGGGAGCCAGGACATAGCTGGACACGGACACTTCACCCTCCGGGCGCCCGATGCCAACCCTGAGTCGGGTCATCTCCTGGGGAGGAAGAAGAAGAGCTGGAGGAGCTTCACCTTGAGGGCTGACATGGAGCTGGGGCAAGGGGATAGTGTTGTGACTAGGGTTGGGCAGTGAGGGAGCAGCCTTGCATGTTTTCCAGGTGGTTTAAGTGCTTGCTCCAAGAAACATGATTTTGGAAGAGGCTTTTGCTGGCCGTGCTGAGATCCCGGGCTGCTGCCAGGCCTGGCAGAGCTGCTCAAGCTAATTGTTTCCATGTCCTCCACACAGCCAAATTGACATCATCCCTCAGGGAAGCAGAGAGGAGGGAAAGGGGGAGAGGAAAAAGAGCAGGGGCTTGTCTGAGTCAAGTCAGAATGGGGGTGGGGGGGCAACTGGCCACGTATTGAGGTGGGGGCAGGACTGATCTCCTTCCACCGAGGCCCACTCACACTGGACTGCAAAGCACTGATGCAGGATCGGACCCCGTTGTGTCCCCTGGGGAGAGGAGAAAGTCACCGTTAGTCAGTCAGAGACACCTCCCCACTCGGTATGGGCTCGGGGGTCTCTCCCTGGGAGCCTGGGATGTGGTCCCAGACAGGGTCTGGGTCTGAGGAACATCCAGCCCCGGGGGCGAGCAGCTCTCTGAAGGGCACAAGGGAAGCGGGATGGGGCTGGTGCATGTGTGGCAGCACCTAGGGCCCAGCACCACCCCGCCCCATCCTGCAGTGCCACAGTCCCCAGGTTAAACGTCCCCAGGCTGGTGCTGCGGTGGGCAGAGGGCAGGCAGAGTGCTATAAAAAGCCCAGTGGTGCAGCCGGAGGTCTGGATCCAGCCCATGGCTCCCTGCCCCTCCTGCCAGGGCAGGAGCTGGGATGCTGCCCACCC